CCCGGGGGGCCGGGCAGTCCTCTTGGCCCTTGCTCTCCTCGCATGCCGGGCTCGCCCTTGGCTCCAGGCATCCCTTTCATACCCGCCTTCCCAGGGAGTCCTGGGATGCCGGGTTTCCCAATGCCCGAGAAGCCGGGGGGCCCAGCAGGCCCAGGCTGGCCGTGCATTCCTGGCTTCCCCGTGCCCGGCTTTCCTGGGTAGCCAGGGGGCCCGGGGGGTCCGCGCGGGCCAGGCTTCCCTGGCGGTCCTGGCTCCCCTTTGAGGTCCATCGGCAGCAGCGGCGGCATGTCTGTGGAGAGAGGAGACACGGAGCTTTACTGGGGCTGGCGGCGGACGGAGGAGCGTGCCTGGTGCGTGATGTCCTCAGGGTGTTAAAGCCAGGGGCTTCAGCACTGCCTGGGTCTGTACTTGCAAGAGTGCCCGTCTCTAGAAATGGTTTTATTTAAACACAGCCACAGTGGCTTCCTGGGCCACCACATCAGCAGCACTGTCTTGAGGCAAGACCTTGGCTGGAGCCCAGGGTACTAATTCAAGCCTTACTCCATCCATCCCTCCACAGAGGGTGTCAACAAGACCAGCAATTGCCGTCGGCTCTGGCAGCGTTGTTTTGTGATGACCTACTGTGAGGGTTTTTTTAGGAGCTGGATTCAAACCTCCCACTGCCTCACTTCCCAGCGGCCTTGAAAGCACCGTGGGATTCAGTCGCTCCTGCCTGGGCTCAGCCAAGAGGATGGCGACAGAGCGAGCCAAGACTGAGGATAATCCCTCCACCCCATCCCTCAAGTCCAGGGCCTCAGGAGACCTTTAATCCTTTTGGATTAAAAAGAAAACTCTTGGACATGTTCTTGAGAGACTCGAAGAGGCGATTCGCGTATGGGTGAAGAGATGCCCGCAGCGCTCACTGGCTCAGCTCCCGTGTCCAGCAAGGCAGAGAACTCACCAAAAAGAAAAAAAGCACTGAGGATGGCGGAGAAGCCAATAGCTGCAAGGGAAACGCAACCTCGGTTACATCCAAATGAGTCAGCCCAGCTGGGAATAGGCCGTAACCACTTGACATTTAAAGAATTTATAGAGGTCTTTTGCAAACGGATATAAGAAAGAAACTAATGGGCTGACAGACTACAAAGCTGGGGCGAACCAGATTACATGCCCACCGCAGCTCGGTACCTAAAGCGCAGACGTGAGCATAAATAACTCCTCCAGGCACGGCATCGCTACCCACGTGACACTGGGAACGAGTGAGAAAGAATAAATCTGACAATTTTTTTTTTGGGGGCAGTAAGCTTGAAATGAAGGAAATACTTGGCAGTCACATGTACATGGGACTGCGATGAGAAATGCGAAGGGGAAAGGAAAGGGCCTTGACACCTTGGGCAAATTTTAACCAAATCTGCCCAACGTTGAACATTCCAGTCAGAAACAGATCTGTACGGGCAAGTTCCTGGAATGGGAATGGATCCCATCTGGGATGGGAGCAGAACCAGCCCATGGCCTGAGGCTGTGCGCCCCGGCACGGCACTGAGGAGGAGGCAGGGGGTCACCGAGGTCTGGCAGCCCGGGCGTTCAGCGAGCTGAGCCGGGCCTTGGGAGCACGGACACCCGTAGCGCCAGGATCTGCCAACACAGAGATTTTCTCAGTCAACGGGAAAAGATTAGGGGAGATTTGAGACACGTGAAAAGAATAACTGCGCAGCAGCAGGCGCCGCGCCGCTGCATCGGGGCAGCTTTGCCTTCCCTGAGCACAGCAATTAGCTCTGGCCATTTCCAAGCCCGGTGCCTGCTTGTTTTTCTTTTGGTAATGGAAACATTTTCAGAGCTTATCTACATATCAAAGCCTGGCCCGCATCCTAGGCTGTAACAGAGGTCACTTGGCTGTGGAAATTAAGGAAATACTTGTCTGTCATGACATTGCCACTGGATTTCTGCAAACCTCCTGCTCCTCACCCCAGAAAATGGTGTGGGAAAGAAGGCAAGGGAGATGTGAAGTCTTGCACTAAAGCAGATTTCTGGGGTTTGAATTCTGGAAAAATTTTTCTCCAGAAAATGATTTCAATGTGTTTTCTCCCTCCACACCCCCCCCACCCCCCCCCTTTTATTACTTCTTGAAATGGTTTGAAAAGAATTAGTTTTCTAGGTCATTTTGCATGGAATCAGAACAAGGATCTACAGCTGAGCCCACGAAGGAAGGAAAAAGCACACACACACTCTCACACAAGGCAGCGAAGAGAAACGCCAGGCGAGAGCTGCCAACTTGCAGGCGGCCAAAAAAGCAGACGGGAAAACCAAACCGGGGACGTTAGTGGAGAGAAACTGGGACATTGCAGCCCCAGTGGTATCCAATTTCAAAAGACCATGTCTTACCACAGACGCATGTCTCGGAGCTCTGCATTTCACAGCAGCAGCATGGGGTTATGTGTTCCCCTCGAAGCATGAACAAAGCTGCCATGAATGCTAATGCAAAGAGCCAGCTGGGGCAGCGGGGAGGGGAAGGAGCAGGCACGGCCCCTGCAAGCTCTCCCCTGGGCACCACAGGGCTTTTCACCTCCTGAGGGGCATGGGCATGGACGAGTCCGGGTGGATCCTGCAGCCACCTCGGAGCTGCATTCGTCCCAGTAAGGACTCCTGCATGCCTGAGGAGGGACCCAGCAGCGCGGACTGGCCGGCAGAGCAATAATCCAGCAAGATGGGAAGTGGTTCCCAGCCAGGAGCAGTCAGCAGCAGGTCTGGCCCGCGCAGCCGGATGACACTGCAGGAAGGAGAGGTTGGCTGCTCTGTGGCAGAGCCCGTTCCAGCACTGCTGCCAAGCCCCGTCTCGTGAGAGCGAGTTCCACAGGCTCCTACGGACGTTGCATGGGACCAGTGTTACTGCATCTCTCATCCCATCTTCCATTGCAGCGGGAGCCCCGAGCTGGGCAGGGAGGCTCGGCACAGGACCCAGCCGCAGATGGAGCTGCCATGCAAGGGGATGGCAGTGAGACGAGCAGGCTCCAGAAAGAAGCATGGAAGCAGCAAATGAAGTTTCCCCGTTAGCGGGAGCTAAGGGACCTGGAGGCCTCTTGGCCACATGCAGCCCCACAGGGACCACAGGACTGAGTCTCTTGGAAGGCAGCAGGACTTGAGGGCCACTTGCTCCGGGGACACTGGGCAGCAGCAGCCCTGGAGGCAGAGCTTGGGCCTGGGCTCTCCCCTGAGCTTGCCCGAGGAGGTGAATCAATCACACTCCTTTACCTTTGCAGCTGGGGCTGCTGCCCCAGGGAGAGCCCCCTGTACTGGAGGGGAACCCCGTCGCTCGCCTGGCACAAACCGCCTAACCTGCGTGGGGAAACGCCGGGCACCCTGTGGTGCTTTTACCTGGCTGCAAGCTGCACGGACATGGTTTTAACCAAGCCAAAATAAACCCCAAATGTGCAAATACCTGCTTCGATGCTTTTGGCATCTTAGCAGCATCTTCTGCCCAGAGCTGCCTCCCTGCTCCTGGGGAGTCTATTTTGGGTCAGAAACGGTGTCTGGCACCCTGAGGAAATCAGCCCTGTCTCTCACTAGATGGCACCTGCAGGCTGGAAAGGGTTCCCCCCCGAGCCCCAGGGCCTGGCCCCCCCGGCGGGGGGCCCA